CAAAGCCAGAGCTTAGAACACCAGCAGGAAGAACTGGAGTAGCTTGACTGAGGAGTAATAAACCCGGGCTTCCCGGCGTCCAGCAGAGATCAGCCTGGGAAAGCTGAAGCCGCTAGCTGGAGTCACCGTGAGCTTCCTGTGTCCAATTTTCCTTGCCGCTGCAAGCGGTTTTACGACAGGACACAAACAACAGGAGTCTCTGCAGGAAATGGTCCACCTTCCAGCTGTTCTCCAGGACAGGATGTTTTATTAATGTCAATTTATTATTATTACTTTATTGAGACAGGGTTTCTCTGAGTCGTCTTGGCTGTCCTAGAACTCACTCTGTAGACCAGGCTGGCCTCAAACTCAGAGACCAGCTGCCTCTGCCTCCCGAGTGCTAGGATTAGAGGTGTGAGCCGCCACCACCTGGCTAGCACACCGCCAATTCACCAATATAATTTACATCACACCAACCAAGTGCCGGGTTGTAGGTGTGCTGAGCACTGGTTTTCTTTTACTTCTCTTGCCATGACTGACTTTATGTGTCTCTACGTGTCCATTATGTGTTAATTCAACTCCCAGAGGAACTCCACGGTGAACAGGTCTTGTCTTGGAGGACTGAGCATCAGAGGAGACGCGGGGGTCATAGAATTTTCCCTCAAGAAGCTCATGAAAGCACTATGTTTCTGACCAAGAACTTGGACCTTATTTTTCTATTACATTTATTTACTTATTTAGTTAATTAATGTGGTGTGTGTGAGAGAGAGTATGTGCTCCTGTGGAGGTCAGAAGACACCTGAAAGAACGTCTTCCCTCCTTCCGTTACGGAGAGCCTCGGGGTCAAGCTAAGGTCGTCATGCTTGGCAGGAAAGTACCTCTACCCTCCAGCCATGTTGCCACTCCAGCTTGGACATTACTTGTTCTGTGTCTCTGGCCTTTTCAAGTCCAGCTGGTCCTTCGGGGCTCAGCTCACACTCCTTGCACAATGCCTTGTGGTTTCCTGTGTCTGGCAAAGCACTCACTCAGGGCTGTGGCAGTAGTTTGATGGTGGAGCTGACTGGTGAGCGTGAGGCCCTCGGTTCAATCCCCAGGACTGGCAGACCTTCACATTCATTCACCTTTCCACATCATCACGTGTCTCTTCACTTAATGCAGGTCGGGGCCTGACTTCTGACAGTCTTGCTAATGCATACGAACTCACTTCAGGGTCTGTGGAGAATCAAGGCTGCTGCAGCACTCTGGAACTCCTGAGCGGTGATTCAGGGTGGCTGTAATCTCTGGTTCCTGGCAGAAACAGCAGAAAATTCTCACTGGAGAAAAACATCCCCAGGTTTGGCGCTTTGGTTCCTATAGATCAAGATCAATAGCACATCCCACGACCGTGAGTCATCACATACAAGGAAACAATTCATCATAAGTGAGAGTCAGCAGGGACGAGCGTGTGTGTCCGTGAGGAGGTATAATTAGAACCTAAACATCAAAGGAGGCCAGGCATGTTTGCTCTCACCTGTAACCCCGAAACTTAGGAGGCACAGGCAGGTCTGAGGCCAGCCTGGTCTGCATGGTGATACCTGGTCTCAGAACTATATAAATTGTACACGTTTATGTGTGTTATGTGTATGTCATGTATGCCTATGGAGTGCCTGTGTAAACCTGAGTGTGTGTGCTTGTGGGCACACAGGGAGGGCAGCGGGGAGCATTAGATACCCTGTTTTAAAAACAAAACAAAGCAGAATGATCACATATTCATAACAAAGCACTTACGTATAGAATATAAAAATCACACACAAATCTGTGATAAGAACAAAAATAGGCCATTAGAAAGTGTGAGCTGGGCGGTGGTGGCGCACACCTGTGGTCCCAGCACTCAGGAGGCAGAGGCAGGCGGATCTCTGTGAATTCAAAGCCAGCCTGGTCTACAGAGTGAGTCCAGGTCAGCTAGGGCTACACAGAGAAACCCTGTCGAAAGAGGAAAGAAAGAAGAGAGAGAGAAAGAAAGGAGACAGAGAAAGAAAGAAAGAAAGAAAGAAAGAAAGAAAGAAAGAAAGAAAGAAAGAGGAAGGAAGGAAGGAAGGAAGGAAGGAAGGAAGGAAGGAAGGAAGGAAGGAAG